TGAACATGTTGGAATAATCTACTTTCAAAATAAGACTACTGAACTAAAGTATTTTCTGGTTAATAATAGCATGTGGCCTTAAATACCAATATAAAATAATTAATAGTCTCCGCCACACAAGCACTTGAAAATCTGATGTATTTTTATGATCTAAGGTTGTAAAAATTTCATAATACCTTACTTAGATATCCTGCAAATAGAATATATTATTAATTAAAATAAAAAATTATTATTAATGCAGTGCTTGAAATATGACTATAAGGTGTTATCGAATTTTTTTTTTTTGGTGTTTCAACATTTTAGCATATGAAAACACATGTGGACAATAAATAAATCTAACAAACACCGAAATGTAAGTAAAAAATACAAAACAAAATTTATATAATTAGAGGAGGTTCTTTCTGATAAACTACACAATTGTCAAGAACCTTTTTTTTATGGGTTGTCATAGCTCTATTATATTCTATTATCTCTATTATATTTTTCCCAAATCAAGCACTGGTTTATACAGGGTGTTCAGTAAGTCAGGAAACGGGTTTCTATTGTTCTCATTGTTACAAACAATGAGAACAATAGAAACCCGTTTCCTGACTTATTGAACACCCTGTATACATTATTATATACGTCGAATTCTTCAATATCAGATTATTAAATTAATTAATCCGTTATTATTCATATTTTGTCTTTTATATTAATTATAAATAAATGTGTTCGTCTACAGGTTCCTAAATATCGGTTGGCCTATTGACTTAGGAAGTGAATAAAAGGAAATCCGATAACTTATTAATTAAAGAAACTCAAAATGAGATTGTCTATAATAACAATATTAATGTAATTAATAATAAAATTTATAGTTGGGCGTCCCCATTTACATTGCTAATAACAACTAAATAGTACAATGCAACAAAATGAGTACAAGTATAAAATTTTTAAGTATCGTTGAATTCAATAATCTGACCTGGGCATAACATCAGTGATCGGATTATAACTGGTATATTCAACCAACTTCAACCGTTTGAATGAAAAAAAACACGAACTCGATTATCTAATCGATCACACGCACGGTAAATCCACCGAATTCACTTATACGTTACAATACCGCAAAGTCGCGGAAAAACTCGTGGCGGCGCCGATGGGTCTAATCAATTAGACCGTACAATGGTTGACTGACCAGGTAAGGCGACGACTTACCGGACAGCGAACGGCATCCCCACTACTATATGTAACCGGTTTCATTTGGGTTGTAAGTTGAACGCGACCAAATATAACTCGCCGCAACAAAATGCTTACCTTAAATAGAATGAGAAATAGAAATATTCTCTTCTAATCGAATGCATTTAAAATTTCATAATGAATTGTTTCATTGATAAGTATACAAATAAATATATAAGCATCTTATGAATTAATTTAAATAAAACTTATTAAGTGTCAACGCAGTAATTTCTAATTATAAAAAATAAATAACTTTTCAATTAAACACGTACTTTTCAAACGGTGAACACAACCATGTGACAGATCGTTGTTGACAAGCGGCAATCTAATATATTGCAAGTTGTAACAACTTGTTAACTGGTAAAAATCAATCAATTCTCATTGATTACGTCATATAGATTTTTTTCAACAACCAACATAGAAATATACCTATGCTTTTACTTCAGCATATCGCATTACTAAAAACTGGTAGCGATTATCTATTTACGGGCTATAACTTTTAGTTTGTTATGATTTTTTCTTAATAAACCCTAAACTTTAGAGAGCCGTGGAGCGCTTATTATTAAGTGGTAATATCCATCAAATTTTTTTTATTGGCTTAAATTATGCTAAAACTATCCTAGAATCAAAATCTTCAACGCCCAAGTACTGATCTAAACTCAAAATTCGTTTAAATCAATTTTTACTGAACAACTTATGCTCCAAAATCACATTTTTCGCTTATTTTAGCGATGCTCGTTTTTTTTTAATTTCGCGGCTTTGTAAATTAGTAGGAGTTACCTATGATCGATATCGTGTTTTGAATTTGAAGTATAGAGGTCGCTGCTTCAAATTTCGACCGTTACAGCGTTTGTACAGCACGTGTTTACTCACAATTTCCCTTTGTTTAGTCGATCAGCCGTTCTCGTTGTGTACGTTCTTAGTTTGAGTTTTGCCATACTTTTTAACTGTGAATTATATTCAAAAGTACTTAATTATGAGTGACAAGGTGTGCAGTGGCCACAAAGGCAGTAAAACAAGAAGTACCAGAACAACCCGGAGTAAAATTAGTAACCGACACTCGCCTAACCACCATGCGTTCGATGGCGATTCGGAGTACGTTAGTACCTCGGCGAAAAAATTAAAAACTTCTGATTTAAACCGTGATCGCGATGTTGATAGGGATTTCGGCTACGGTTTCATACATTTTTTCGCTGTATTTACTGCTCTTTCTGAATTATTAGTGTGTAAAAAATGTAATAGTGATGTGCGGTTTTCATAGTCAAGCAAGCGTGGACTAGGCTTCAAGATTGTTGTGTCTTATTAAAACTGCAGTGATGCCGATATTTTTAACTATCCTCTAATACATGATCGTGCTTATGAGATCAATTGCCGTATTATTTTTGCTATGCGCGTCATTGGCATAGGCATCAACGGTATAAAAAAGTTCTGTGCGATGATAGATCTCACAAAGCCTGTTTTTCAAACAACTTACAGTATGATCATTTCTAATATCGGCACTGCTACTTCATATGGTAACATTATTTCTATGAAAAAATCAGCTATTGAAGAAAAAGAACGTTCTATTGAACGAGGTGAAGAAGGCGGTCTTACGATGTCAGACGATGGATCTTGGCGTAAGAGGGGATTTTCATCTTTGTTTAGATTAGTTACTTTGATTGTGCCAACCAATTTAGGCAAATTTAGGCAAAGTTGATTGTTTTGCAATCGGTCTGTAATTTACTATCAAACTTTTGTTACCAGACTTATAAATAGGTGTAATAAAACTGGTTTTCCATTGGGAGGGGAGAGTGCCAACAATTGCCCCCCTTGAGGAACACCTGAAGGCACTGGTATTTTATTTGATAGAAAACCATTAATTTTCACCTGTTGCAATCTATTCTCTAAGTAAGAACTAAACCACGTTAACAATTGTTCAGTTATTCCATACGTTTTTAATTTTTCGATCAGCACTGAATGGTTTACCGAATCGAAAGCCTTGCTGAAATCTGTGTAAATAACGTCCGTCTGAATTCCGGATTCCATAGAATTTACCTAGAAATTATAAAAACAGAGAAGATTAGTTTCCACTGATCGCCCTTTTCTAAAACCATGCTGGTTATTATCTAGAATGGTTTTTAATGAAAATGTTAATACATTTGTCACTAATTTATCTAACAATTTAGGCAAAGTTGATTGTTTTGCAATCGGTCTGTAATTTACTATCAAACTTTTGTTACCAGACTTATAAATAGGTGTAATAAAACTGGTTTTCCATTGGGAGGGGAGAGTGCCAACAATTAAAGAACGATTAAATAATCTACATATGGGAACAGTTAACGAGAAGATACATGATCGTAATTTATAGATCGCCATTTTGCGAAAAAAAATTTAAAAAATATAATCATGTATACTTCACTAGCGACACTCATGTAGAAAATGAAAAAAATTTTTTTTTTGTTATAGGTGGAATTGGGCACGACTTCTACTGTTCGCCGCGGAAGAATTTTTTAAAAAAGCGGTTCACGGCAATCGCTGCACAGCCGCCATTTTGTAAAAAAATAACAATAAAAATTTTTTTTCTATTTTCCAAGAGTTGCTGAATCCAATGATATATTATTTATATACCTTACATCTCAAATTTCCTTTAAAAAAAATCATGAAAAAAGCCTTATTTTTTTTAGAATTTGGTGGATATTACCCCTTAAATAAAATAAAATTTTTTTACAAAACATTTTTTTTTTAATAAGTAAATTTAATGGTGTAAAAAAGAAATAGGGTTGCCATTTGAAAGGTTTTCGGGTAAGAGTAGGAGTGCACCAAGGTTCTGCTTCAAGCCCTTACTTATTTTCTATAATGATGGATGAAATTACTAGAGAAACACAAGGAGAGGTGCCGTGGTGCATGTTATTTGGTGACGATTTTTTAAGTATTTAGGTTTTAAGTATTTAGGGTCAGTTGTGTAAAAGTGTGGTGGTATTGACGAGGATGTAAGACACATAATTAAGTACGGGTGGTTGAAGCGGAGAGAAACTTCTGGCGTCTTATGCGATAAAATAATTCCAATAAGGCTAAAAGTTATATTCTACAAGACTGTAGTGAGGCCAGCTATGATGTATGGTTCAGACTGTTGGGCGGTTGATAAGAAATTAGAGTAGAGAGTGAAAGTAACAGAGATGAGAATAGACTTAGATGGTTTGGTCATGTTACGACAAAAAAAGATTCGGAAGCCGTAAGAACAGTTGTAGAAAGAATGTTGAAGGAAGAAGAGGTAGAGGAAGACTAAAAAAGGGATGGAGAGATGTTATTGAATGCGATAAGAGGACAGCTGATGTGGGAGATCGTGTCAAATGAAAGTTTAGGATAAGTGTGGCCGACCCTAAGTATCTGGCATTAAGGCGAGGAAGAAAAAGAAGATATTGTATTCACATTTCAATTTATATAATGCTTGTTTATCATGTTTGTCAGTTGTATAATTAACACTTTTTAATACTCTCAATCGTATTAATTTAGTAAATTTTATTATATTTTTGAACTGTATCTTATTTATATTACATAAAAAGTGTCTATAATCTTAATATTGAATTTATACTTGGAATTTTCCAAGTCAGCTTTTTGATTATCGTATTTATACGACAACTTCGTCAAATTGACGAAAGCCACCAATTTTCCTTTCTTTTAGAGTCTTTGGTTTTTAACACAACTCCTCGCTCATCAATTACGATTATATCTTTCTTCAATTCTCTGTAGTTTTTAATAATGGTCAAATAATTGTAATAATTATAAAAATAATTAAGTTGAATAACTCATAAGGTATTAATAAGTTTATTTCATATATTTCGTATAAGTAAAACACATTTGTTATTCAAGAGAAACAAAGAAATCTTGGAATTCTTTTCCACCTTTTGATATTTCTATTATTGGGTGGTGGTTCCTTTCACCTTTTTTCTCTACTATTTGTCGGAAAGACACATGTCCCTTTGTTTTTTTTACCAAACTAGTGTAAAAGAATGAACAATTTCCCAAAATATCACACCCTCCTGTGAGTTTTAAATTCAAATCCCTATTTGAAGCGTAATGTATTAATGCAGCTAATTTACATTTATGTTTATTATCATCTTTGCACATTGTTTTGCCATCTAAATTAGAAAAAAACTAATATTAAATTTACAAATTAACACACGTAGTATATTAAAAAAATATAATATTGTTTACAAAAACATATAAAAATTAATGACATAAGAATATAAAGTTATAAAAGTTATTTATATTCAATCTATCGATTTTAATGTAGCACTCAAATATGAATTACCATTATTATGAAATAACGTCCGAACAGCAATCGCCTTTACCAAATCAACACGTTTAGAGACAGCAAGGCTATAGACAACATTTTCTAAAAAAAACATTATAAAACATAATTTAGATTAGTGACAGTTACTTTCGAAAAGCTATAGAAGTTATTCAGGACTTCGAATTTCATATTTTCAAATACAGAATTAAAACCAAAAGTAATAAATAAACACGTTAGACACTTTTTTAAATCCCATCTATATTAATATTTAATTTAATTTTACCTTTTACATAGTCCAGGCAATCGTTAGCAATGCTGTCTTAAAAAAATATTTAAAAAAAAAATTAGAAATACGAGTACAGTAGTATTATTTGTAACGGTTATCGCAATATAATTTTCAACTAATTACTCACTATTCAATTTTAAAAAATATGTCTTTAAAATTTCTTGCAATCTAAGCTCACAACCATAGGTATGATCTATTACTTGTACTATAATGTATTATTAATTATTAATAATAAAAATTAATTACAAAATTATACACACAGTGTTATAATATTTTGGCTTAACACTTATTCAAAAAATGTTTGACCCAAGTTCTTTCGAAATTATTAAAATAATTTATACATTTATACATTTTAAATGATTTTGATCGTTTATAATCGGGTGGATCGTTACTCGGTTTTCATTTGTAAAATGTTTAATGCAAAGAAATGTTTTACCGAATACATCTTCAAATTTTATTATAATTGAAGAAGTAATTTTTTTTGGACACTCGATTACTTTTAATTATAATTATGGCTAGGAATTATGTGCTCTTATAAAGTTTGTTAAGTAATTCTGAACGCACCATCAGACAGTACAATTTTTATTAATTGACTTGAAAAATTAGTAAATTGTTGTTATCAAAGTTTTACTTTTGGAGGATTAGGGGTTTTAACCCCCTCTAGAATAAAAATTATTTTTAAAATACTATACATACAACCCTATGACAAAGTTGAAAAAAACTGGGGCCCTTCAAAGCGGCCCAAACAAACTTTATAAATACATAAAATTTCTAACCCAAATAATAATTATATGACGTTAAGATTATGTTTTAAGGATTATATTAGTGTTATGTTATGGTTATAAGAGTTATATCATAAATCAAATAAAATTGATGGTTTTACACAATTAAATTTTTAAAAATTAATTTCTAACAAGGCTCCAAAACAGAAACTATTAGAGCTAAAATATTATAACTTTCTTGGTTTTAAAATTAATGTTTATCAAAAATATGAAAATTTTAAATTGTATTACTAATTTTCATTAAGCAAAATATATAATTGTATTAATAATTATTAAAAAAAAGTTATTAATTTATATTGTAGTTTTTATTTGGTAATAACTACGGCTCCGTTGCTCTGGAAGACTGATGTATCGTTTATGTTAGATACAATTCGTTCTTATTTATTGAAGGTTGGGTTAAAATTATTGAATAATAATTACAAAATATGAAGAATCAAATTATCGTTGAAAATTTGTTTTACCTATAAGTACATTAATGTTCGGATACAATGGAGCTGAAAATTAAAAAAAATGTTATATATCTCAATGTCACACAAAATTATGATTATTGTTATGTTAATTTTTTTTTTTTTTTTTTTAAAAGGAGATTAAATTTTTTCCTCCAATTTTTGTAGTTTTGATGCGAATCTAAATGATATTAAATTTACCATTTATTTTTTTTTTTACGTCTGTTATACAAAAAAAATATATTTATTTTAATAGTATATAAGTCGCGTAATCGAACCTATCTTAGCGAATGCTATAATAGGTGTAAACACGGGGTATTAGTGACTGCCACTCTTTACCTAATACCCGTACTGTGCCTATTTTTTACATGATTTTTGGTATACTTTCAGTGAATGGTTGTCTATCCCCGGCAGCCATGTTAATTTTTTTAATAAGAAAGTAGAAATATATAACATTTAAGAGAGAGTATTACACTAATATCGTCAATCGTGGATATAATAAGAAAAAATAGACTTAGACGGTTTACTCATCTTATTAGGAGTTAGGAATGGAAAGCTGTAATAAAAGATATAGAAATGAATTTTGAAGGAAAAAGAGGTAGAGGAAGACCAAAAGAGAGATAGAGGGATGCTATTGGATGCGATATGAGGACAGATGATGTAGGATATCGTATCTAGTGGAAGTTTAGAATAACGGTGCCCAATCCCAAGTAGTTTGAAAAAAGGCGAGGAAAAAGATAAAGAATAAAGTAGAAATTCATCTAATAAATAACTTATAAGTTAGTTATAAGCTGTAAAATTAAAGTCAACACCCTTTTTAATATATAAGGGATGAACATAAAAAATATTTTTAAAAAACTATTTCTTTACTGAAACATCGAAACTATTTAGTATATAAATTATTAAAGGATAGTTTATCAAAGAAAAATAAATATTCTTAATAATTGAGAAGACTCAATTCTTTTATTCAGTTATCCTTTAATAGTAATATTAGATGCTATCTTTGAAGGTAATATTATAATAATTTGTCGATAATTTTTACTTAAGTTATATGTATCTAAACTTCATTAAATATAATGAATTGCACTTATTTTGAACTTTTTGGCCTGTGCTTCCAAAAAAACGGAGAAAAATTATTTATAAGATAGATACTTAACACGGCCGCCGAGGATTGACGGTCGGTTATAGAAAGTGTACCGGATATCTAGTGAAAAAGGAGGCACGGTACGGGATTAGAACCTGCGACCCAAGGCGTCATGTAGACAAACCTTACTACTAGACCACCGAACCCTTATGATTCAGATGCCGATATTCTTTCATTTAGGTTGATAACGTGATATGCGGCTGAGGGAAACACGGTACCGTGTCAAACTAGAAAAAAATAATATAAATATATAAAATAAACCAAAATACAAAATTATGAATATTTTTTTTATTTTTTTATCATAAGATCTATTGTAATAATCACTTTGTATTTATTTTTGTTAGGAAAAGTTCTATTCTCAATACCCTACATGAGTAGGACCATGACATTCATGATAATTGATTAGGGTGAACTATGGAAATAATAAGTACTAGAGTAGCAATTTAAGTGATTCGGCATAAACCTCATTTTAGCTTCGATGCAAAGCTAAGAAGGTATTAATTTTGCTATGGTGTGTTTTTTTTTGTGTTTGTTACCACTTTTCCTCAGCTCTTGATGAACCGATTTCTTTCTACGATACGTCAAAAGATCACAAATTGTATCTAGTCGAAGACATTACCCTCAAAAATTAATTATACTTCCCTCGTTCCCCGTAAATCGAGAAAATCTCCAAAAAAATTACAAATTTAAAAATTGCTAATTTTCAACATTTTTTCGTTTTTTTTATTTAAAACAGCCATAACATTTTCAAAAATAATCAAATAAATATCATTTTTTTTAATAATACATGTCATAATTACCTATCATTTTATATATTTTTTTTTTATAAATCTGACCCTTTTTCTGCCCATAGGGAGGATTCAAAATGACAATATTTTCACAAAAAATTAACTTCACATTTAAAAGTGTTTCGGAAACTCAAACACTTTTATATATATCATAAATTAAAGCTGATGCAATATACTTTATTAAATAAAAAAAAATTTCGGACTTTATTTTGTCTTCACGATGAAAATGGCTATCAAATGCAATTTTTGTGTGAAAATTCACGATTTTCTATTATATTTTATTTATTTTTAACTCATTTGATTTTTATCTCATTTAAATTCAATAACTTTAATGAATATCAATGACCCAATCACTGTAGATCCCCTTTGTTTGAAGTAATTTCTTATTCATATTATAGTTTTTTTACTATGTGTTTTTTTATATGGCTTTTATTTATTTCCTCAGCTCTCACTTGAACAACTTTTTTTAAAGATATATCAAATGATCACAACTGTTTGCGCTCGTTATCACGCGATTAAGCGATAGCAATAATAATGATGGTCCCCGACTAATATAAGACCAGTTATGCTTCGTACGCGCGCGGACAAATCGCCAGCTTACAATAAAATAATAATAAAAAGATAAAGTCCACAATTAATAAACATTCGTATTTATCAATTTATTTATTATACAGATTGAACCAGACGCAACAACAACTAATACACTAAATTGAGTAGATTATTTTAACAACATTTTGATTGGTTTCTTTACTTAAAATAAAATCTACATATTTCAATTGTAGAATACTTTTAATAACCAAAAATTACTTAGAAATGATTACTATGATTCAATTTAAGTGATTTATTACAATAAAAATGCAAAAAAAATATTGAGCTTTTCTGTTAAATTTACAGTAAATATTAATTATACAATTTCCTGGTGCATATTAAACTTGACAATAATATTTTTTTATTCTCATAAAATTTTCCATTTGTTGAGTTAAAAGCTATGGTAAAAAATTCAACTTTTTTATTTTGAACTTTCAAAAAATCAACTTTTAAATACCAAAAAAATATGTTAAAAATTATGTTTTGCACTGAATATTTTTAAAATATTAAAAATCAAAATCTGTAATAATTTAAAAACAGTTTTTTTGTGTTATAAATTATTTTTTTATCCTAATAAATCATTTCAAAAGGAATATTAATAATTTCTATGTATTTATTGGTGTTTAAATAGATATTACTGACGCAAATTACGTCCCAAAAATGTGGTCGACTCTGGTTTTGAGAGTAGAGACCCGTGGGCCGTTTTTTAATGAGCTACACCAGGTTATTTTAACAAAAAAATAAAACAAATTGAATATATGAATCATAATCTTCGCATAATATCGCGGCACTTTCGCTGGCGTCGACGACGCGATAAACAGCGTGATCCTCGGGCGTCAAAAGGGTTAGCAGCGTTGATGGCGACGGTGCGCTGATACAGATCGGTTCGTCGAGTCCGGTCGTGCAGCAGGTCCGGAGCCGTTGTCACGTTGACAACGGTAAGAAGACTCCCGTATCATTTGCGGTGGGTCGTCGTTGGCCATGCGGCACTTGCTGAACTTTGCACCGCGGCGTATGACACATGGCGTTGGTCAGTCAAATACTCATAGTAGGGCGACGGCTGATAAAGGTGGCCCGAGTAGCGGGGCCGTGTCAATACAATTGAAATATTTAGAACTATTTTCCTTATAGTCATATCCTATAATTTTCATAATAAAACAAATATACTATATACGCTGGTGACAGCGGTTCAGTTTTCATATTATGTAGTAATTTTTAAAAATTCTTCGTTTATAATCTTTTAATTCGATGACCGTGATCACACAGACTCTCGTTCAATTTTATAGCATGATTTCTAAATGATGATTTATCATTTTTAATTACTCTGCGATTGGATGAAAATTTATTGACACTTTCAAAATATTTGTTGGAATGGATCATAAGAGATGATTAATGGTTTTGAAATTTACTTGGTAGTATTTTCATTTTGGAATTTGCTGATTGCACTTTATTTAAATGCTGACTGTGTAACTTCCATTTTACATGAAGTAAAAGTCTATTAGATATTTAATCATCGTACTATCTGATATCGTTTAATTTTTATTCTTAAAATATTATGCATCGTGAAAAATTATAATTTGAGATCATTATAAAATAATCAACAAGTATGAGATTATAATATTTTTTATTTTATTTTCATGAACAGCATTTTTACAAATGATACATTCAAATGTTTTCAAGATTTTTTTCTCCATTATTACTGTAATTTTTTTCATCCATGAAATCAAAAATATCGTTACAGCATCCCCATTTTTCATTTTGTTCAAATGAATTCATTACATCGATGTTAGGATACTCTTCATCATTGTAGTTATCTCCTTGATAAATTGATTATATTTAAATTGGTATTATTTCTAAAATAACATACATAATTTAACGCTTAATAATTTTAAAATAGGAATAAATATTTACCCGTTCACTGCACAATTATTCATTGTGTTTAAAATATTCTGATTTGTATGATTTTTAAAATCCACTACGAATTTCTCTCATATACGCTTCATTATGCCTTTGTAATCGAATGTGAGTATTTCATTATACAATACCATCGACGTCTTTGGTAATAACGACGTATTAATGGTTTTTACAATTGAATAGACTAAATTTTCAGGTAACAATAAAAACTTATTTATCACCATATCCTTTGCTTTTTCATTGATTTCTTTACTCTGCATTGATAGCAAGTTACAAGTTTCGTATTTTTTTTTTTTATCACTTCCAGAAGACATAGTTTCATTTCTTTTCTTGCAAAATAGGTTTTCGTTAGTTAACGATACACGCACCGTTTTCCGTTCTTCGACACATTTATTCGATATGGATAAATAACTTTTCCAGAACACATTTTGATTTGACAATATTATTAAACATCGTACTCAGATATATTTTTGATTTACAAGAATCGTCCCTAAACGAAATAAGTTCATCAATGATGTTTAAAAAGTTTATAAATTTATTATCCGACATCCAAAAGTATATACTTGGTGTTATGATTACTATAATTGGAACGTATCGATCAATTACCCATGTACAACCGATATGCAAAAATTTTCGCTCTATGAAACTGAAATTGAAGACCGATGTAGTCAGTACAGCAAACTCAGGTTGAGGTTGATTCGGAATAGTCATTCTTATATCTTTTCCTCACGTAGTCATTTTCATCATGTTCATCTTGAATAGCATACTGATTACGCACAAATAAGAAAACAGTTATAATATGATTAATTTTCCACAAACGAATGTGTTATAAACCAACTTTGAATAATAGGAGAGGGGGAATGCACACATCTTTGAAGTGAGAGGTGCTGACTTCAAGGTATATTATCATAAGTGAAATATCAAAGGAATTATGGTTTTTACACTAGAATGAAAATGTATATATAACAACTATTGATGGAGAAAGAAAATAATATTTCAGAGAACACATAAATAAATTGATTTGGGTGATATCAAGTGAGATACTGATTGATACGCTAATTTAAATGTTGATGGAGGTGTTATATTAAATTAATTGTTATCAAATTGTTTCACTGATAACCAACACACACCTTTCGATTTCTTATTTTGATAAGAACGGGAGGCTTATAATGAGATTAGTGAGACGCTTTTTAAGTGGTAAGGGTGGCGCAAAATGAGTCGCATAATGAGTCTTTGATGATGGAAATATGATTACCTAAGCGTCTGGTAGTCGATGATAGAATTCTTAGAAATTATAGCTGTACATTTGATGGTATAGTAAAGAATAAAATGTGTAGGCGTAAAACACCACCAGTGGTGACATATTTTCTCATAAAATACATACGATAATCATTGTTACTGAACGGTGGTACCTTAGATGTTGGAACTATGCTTACCTAAGTGTCTGGTAACCGATTATAGCAATGTTCATATAAAAATATTTATCATAATTTCTATTTAACGTCTAATTTTAGAAGCATATTTAGCTACACCTATTCTCTACCAGTCCGGTCGGATGGTGGGCGGTGTGAGGCGGCGGCGTTCGTTTAACGATATATGTGATATAGCGATGTTTTATGGATCAGTAGAGTAATGTATAAAATATTGTATAAAATACATACGAAAATCATTGATACTGTACGGTGGTACCTTTGATATTGGAAATATGCTTACCTAAGCGTCTGGTAGCAGATGATAAAATTCTTAGGCATTACTTGTACATTTGATGTTGGAAACATGATCACCTAAGAGTCTGATAGCCGACAATAAAATTCTTAGAAATTATTTGTACATTTAATATTAATAACACACAGACAGCAACGCAATTGTTCTCATATAAAATAACAGACGCTTATGATCATTATATTACAATTATACCTTTGATGTCGGAAATATGCTTACCTAAGCGTCTGGTAGCCGATGATAAAATTCTTAGAAATTATAGCTGTACATTTGATGTTGGAAATATGCTTACCTAAGCGTCTGGTAGTCGATGATAAAATTCTTAGAAATTATGAAGCCATAACAACAAACGTTACCATTGTTCTCATAAAATTCATACGATAATGATTATTACTATATGACAACATCTTCAATATTAAAAAAAATATGCTTACCTAAGCGTCTGGTAGTTGATGGTAAAATTCTTAGAAATGATTTGTACATTTAATAATACAAAGACAGCGTCACAATTTTTTCCCATAAAATTACAGACGTTTATGAGCGTTATACTATAATTATACCTTTGATATCGGATATATGCTTACCTAAGCGTCTGCTAGTCGATGATAAAATTCTTAGAAATTATAGCTATATACTTAATAATACACAGACAGCGCCGCATTAGTTCTCATATAAAATTACAGACGCTTATGAGCGATATAATATTATGATACCTTTGATGTTGGAAATATGCTTACCTAAGCGTCTGCTAGTCGATGATAAAATTCTTAGAAAACGTTGGGTTTCATCCTCTCCCTCCCCCCGCATTAGGTTAGTTTACATAAGGTTTCGTCCTCCCATTGCATTATGTTAGTTTACGTTGGGTTTCATCGTTCTCCCCCACCATTACATTAGGTTAGTTTACGTTAGATTTAATCCCCCCGTACACTTCCTCCACCGCAAGGAAGGTGAGTGGGTGAGGCGGGGGGGGCCGCAAAGTCCCCTAAATTACCCTACTCCTATAATTATTTTTTACAATTAAATAGAGAATTGTCTGATTAAATGTAGTCCATAATGAGTTTGTATTACTACTCTTTGAGTCAATAGAGTTTTAGATAAAACTCTCTGAAGAATACTCTAATCTTTTAAGTGGACATTTAGCCACAATTCTCCGAATAAAAAATATTCACGTCAGTAGGGTATTTTAGAGAGAGCTGGTTCCCCCCGCCTCACCCACTCACCTTCCTAGCGGTGGCGGAAGTGTACGAGGGGGGGATTACTCACGTCTTCTAAAATATTGAAAAGTTGCTATAGAGCATTGATATTATAGATTTATTAAATCATTTGTAAATATAGAAAATACTTTAATGTACCTGTTTAATAAAAATAAATTAATTTATAGCCTTTATAACGCACAAGATTTAAACATAATAAAACTTAACAATCCATAAATTATAAAATATAGTAGTTTAAAATAATAAAACTAAAAATTTCTTTAAGTGATTACTATTTGTTTCGTATTGATTTTTTTTTCCCACAGCCGGCATAAGTGTGGACCGCTCTGGAACTACCGTGAAGTATTGATGGGATAGTTAATTTTTTTTCAAATAAAATATTTATCAATTACCTTTGTTATATTGGAAAAATGTAAGAAAATGTAATGTTGTTTTTCTACGAATATCTCATTTGTAATTTATAAATATGATTAAAGCATATATTTTTTATAAGATCTATTATTTACATCGGTAAAATTTATTTGTCTTTTTTTTGACATACAATAATTAATCAATAGTGTATTTTTAATGTTATAAAAAATAAATTATGTTACTATTGGCACAATTGCTAAACTTAAAAATTTTTAATTAAATAAATATGAATACTTAGAAATTATACATGAGATATTATTTTTTAGATAAAATAAATTGCAGTCGATTCAATCAAATTTTAATAAAAAAAAATCTGTGTAAATATTAAAATACTGAAACTATAAATAAAACATTTTTTACAAAGTAAAAATTGTCATCAATAAATTCAATACATCTTGATAAATTTCATATCTTTTATTATACATATTTCCAATTACACGTCAAATTTTAAATCCTAAAATATATTAATTTAGTAAGATTTTAAAATTGTTCAATAATGATGAGTCAAGGAAGAAAATATATTATTTTGAATCTATTTGTCTATTATCTATCAATTTGTATAACGATTGTGACTAGCAATATAACCAGTGATAATCCAGATATGCAAAGTAAAAATAATTATTTAAATTATGTAATGTTTTTACCGATAATTTATAATCGTTGCAATTATTTTTATATACTATTTTATGAATTTTAAGTTGATCAGTAAGAACAATGACTCTTTTTAATAATAATAGTATACTTCTATCTTTCTTTTTTTTCCTCGCCATAATCCCAATTACTTGGGGTTGGTCAAGTATACTAAATACATATTTTTTTAATTACTGATCAAGTTAATCCTTCAATTTTTCATTGAACGTAGACCGATTGATTTGCGTTTGTTTCGGTTTAAAAACTAATTAATGATTCGTATATTTATTAGAGTAAATTAAAAAAAAAGTAACAAAAAAATATCATATAAAATTTTAAGATTTTTTAATTTAGTAAAATTATTTTGTGATTTTTTACAGAATTAGCACAATTAATTGAAGAGACGAGTATGTAAAAAATTATAATCAACTTAATATAATAATTTAAATATACATCAATATACGATAAAGTACTGTATCAATGAAACAAAATATTAAGATAACATCAATCGATGTAATTAGATATCAAAATTAATTTTACCAGGCTAATTAAAACTATAACAATGTTCATAGAAATATTGCTGGAGAATACTACTGAACAAATATTTCATATAAATACTAAATTATTCTAAAACTTGTAATCGATTACCATAAAATCACATTAAAAACATTTTATACTCGGTGTACAAAGCTAATTTTTTCTATTACGAATATTTAGCATATTGTAGAAATAACTACTAGTATACAGTATAATATATTTAGTATTCTAAATATATCATTGTTTTTTTATGACGTCGATATTCGCAGATACGCAGCATTTATTATCATTGGTAGTAAGGCACATTTTTGTGAGTTTATAAATACACCAACTGGCAATACAGAATGTACATCTATTGATAGTCACAATTGACAATAAACACTATGTGACTGTGATAGCGATGTCATAAAAAACAAATTAGCTACCTGTATATTTGGTTCTACGTGTATTACACATGTACATTAATTAAAAAATATGAAACTTTGAAGTTTTATATCTAATATACAAATAAAGTTTTATTAAAAATTAAAATGCCATTTACTACTAAATTAAGTACACAAGCATTTTATTAAATTCAAAATATGTGTCCCATTTGAAAAAACAAAGTTGACACCCTTACAAAGGATGAACTTAAAAAGTATTACATATTCAATAACTCAAGAATAATGTGTAACTAAAGATAACTAAAAAAATATATTTAAATTATTTTCATTTTGTAAATAATTGAGTGGGTTATGATAAAATATTAACGCTGTAATATATGTATCTAACAAATTCCAAAATAAATTTGTAAAAACTTTTTATTATTATTTTAAGGGTAATTGATTGAATAACATTAAAAGAAGCGTTCTGTATAGACGTATTTCAGTAATTTTTATTTTATGCGTGTAAAATATATAAAAGTATAATAATAAATGTCAAATATATTTATATATCCTAAACATGTACCAATAATTTATAGTGTACTTTAAATTTATTTTAATTATAATGTACCATATAATAGTATAATGATGTTCATAATAAATTATTTCAGATAAGATGTTGGAAGCAATTCCATTAGAAGGTATTTTCATGATAGATTTTATAAATAAATTTAAATTATATCTTGAAAATTATTTGAAAGATAATTTTCAATCGTTAACTAGAAACCTATAATTATTATTATACAATTAAATGAGGAATGAACAACGAAATAAATGTTGGCTGGTAAATGGCTAGATTTGAAATTAACTTTTTGATTTAATAATATTTTTAGCTACTAGTAAGAGGAATGTGCAACATAGCAATTTTTTAGCTGCACATTTTATTGAAATAAAGTGTTTATCAACATTAACTTTCATCTAACGAAAAACATCACGAATATAACTAGAGGAATAACATTTTTGAATAACAAATAAAATAAAGAAAGTGGATTTTTTTATATATTTGTATGGCATTTCCATTTCAATATATGTAGGAAATTTTCAATAATTAGTTAAATTAGCTAAGTTATTGGAAAAAATAAATCTAATAATTATCCAGCAAAATACTTGAATGTCGAGATTTATAAAATGTATACAGAATTATCTGTTAAGGATAAAAACTCATTTTCTCAAAAACTACTGAATATTTTCAATTTTAGTAACAGACAATATTGTTTGATTTACGAAACTTTACAAAAATATGTAGTAAAATGCTTTTTTTCAACCGTTCAGGAAAAAAAACGTACGTTTTTAAGTGGGCCATAAATCATTATCGGTATTTATTCTTGCTATTGTAAGTGACACATACGATAACAAATATTATCAATAAGAACTTATTTATGTGACAAAAATGACGATTTCTGTATGCTAAACAAACAATTAATAGAAAATTGGTCAATCAAATAATTATTACTGTATAAATTAATTATTGAATTTATAGGTCCTAGAGTGACATTCGGTACATTATAAAACCCAACCCAACCTTAACTTAATTAACTTGTAACGTGACAAAATGTGAATGTTATGATATTGATAGATTACTGTTTTGCTTTGCTAATGGGCGCGCGTACGTTATATCCGGCCGTGTAATCAGAAAACTGTACTGTTGCTGTCAAGGTGAACGCTATACACACAATATTCTTTATCAGTTTAACAATCGTTCCCTATATGACACATACACTGGCCACCACTGTCCATACCTGTATAACTCTAATATTGTTCATATTTTTATCTGTTGTATATTTTGTAAATCATTAAGCCGATACCCTCTCCCAAACGGGTTCGTCGTCGTTGTGTCTCGCCCGGTGTGTAGAAATTTTTTCGTAACTCTCTTCCCTTTGAACCACCGTCGTGGTCTGTTTTGCTGTGTGCGTGCAGCCAATTATAGTTTTTTTTCTCGTGTTCGTTGTATAAACATAATGTACTAATCCAGCAAGGCGTCGGCCATTTCCGGGGCCGAGATCCCCATCTTAGGATGAGTCCCATCCGGGACTGGGTATTGTATTGTTGTTTTT